GGAATGCTGATGTTTCCACCGTAAATGAAATTTATGGAGGTCTAGACATCAATTTGTTTCTGCAAAGAAGTCTCTGAAGTTTGCCGCAGGATGACAACTCACATTATTTGCTGTACTGTTGAAAAGTTATATGTATTTTTGCATTTCCTTTCAGAGGCCTATCTACTGCAGCAAAATATACCAAGATAAGAACAAAGCTTTTTTGGCTGTACATGTTTCAATAAAGGCATTGTTAACAATGGATAAGCAGTCTTGCAGGGTACAAAATGTCAACATATTTTCAAGTAAGGCTAGGTTGAAACATTGGTAAAAACTGATTACAGAATCCAGCCTTTGTTTCAGGGCCCTGCCTGACTTTGCAGTACTGCAGCTGGTGAAGAACGGAAGATCTGATGAGCCAGTCCTCTGTAAGTATCTATTATAAAAAGAAAAAAGATAATCCAGGGCCAACATTGTTCTGCAAAAATAAGATGTATGTAACAGCTTGTTTTCAAATCATGTGTTCATAATCTTAAAAATTGACCTACGACTACACTAAGAAAGGTGGAAGGGCTTCAAACCCATGAGTGAATCCAGAACCACCTTACAGGAGGACTAGTAAAATTTTATGTTGGCTGTCAAGAGGTATACCAACCACATCCAAATTATCCTCCACTTGAGCTGACATCTGACAGCTCTCCTGACTTCAGACTGGCTCGTCAGGATTCCTCCCCATCAAAACACTGAAGCAGGAGAAGAAGAGATACACTCCTTTGTTTAATAAGAATATTAAGTGTCACATTTGCCAACTACTTTCTGTCTAATATGCTAATTCCACCAAGCCCAATTTCTGTACCTAGTAGAAAACTCTAGAATGGGGTTTTGGAGTTCACTGGGTTACAAACAGAAAGATGATCAGAGAGCCTAAGAGACAGCCACATAATTATCAACAGAAACCAACAGCCTCGCTCAAGTCATACTGGCCCCTTAAGATATCCCCTAATATATAAAGACAAGCAGGTGGAGAAAAGGAAGAAGGTGCAGAGAAGTGTGAACTGCAGCTACCAAACCCATTACCAACAAGACACACACATTCTTCACAGTGATGACTGATCTGCCCTTGGAGAAAATCAGTTTCTAAATTTTGCTTTTGACAATCAGCTTTTCCACACGCAGGAGACACAAATCAAGGTTAGACAGACAAAGACATGAAGTTACAAAGAAGACTGGAAATAGCTTTGCATCACTACAGTTGGTTCAACTGCCCAGGACTCCTGAGGAGCATGGGACTGAAAGAGACTGTTATGGTCACAAAGTCCAGACCCTCCACCACACCAAGCAGCTGAAAAAATACGTTAACTCAAAAGTGTTCGCAGACTATCCACTCCAGATGCTCCCATACAGTATAGTTCACCAAGCACTCCCAAAAACTAGGACTAACAGACCACAGGAGGAGACAAGAAATGAAGAGCATCATATTCAAAGCCTCTACAGCAGCTGGGTATTTGGTAACTGAAATTTCCAGACAATAATCATTGGAAATGGCTAGTACCTATACAACAGGGTAAGGACAAAACCCTGCCAGCCTGATAAAGGGAAAACTCCCTTCTGATTCTAAATCTGAATGCATCCGCCAGGCAAGTTACCCAAGCAATTCTCACACCAGCAGTGCACCATCCCGTGCTTCCTCTCTTTAGCTGCAACCAACCTCAAAAGCTTACATGGTCTTATCAATGGCAATGTTTGTATCGGCAAATACAAGTTTTGGGAATCAAGCTGGCCTCTTACGGCAAGTAACTTGCAAAGGTTTGAGAAATAAGTAAGTTTTGTTGCCAACACATCGAAACATAGTGGCAGAAAGATCTGGGGCCATCTGTGCAGAAGACACGTTTGAGGGGAAAAAAATGTTTTTCCTCTACCCTGTTGCAGTATGGTGTAAACCAAAGGAGAGGCATGTATGACCTCAAAGACAATGGGAGAAGTCTCTTTAGGGACGTTAGATGGCCATAGTCCTCTCCCCTATGTCTTTTGGGGCTTTTATGACTCTACATGCCTAGACTATATGTGGTATAATTCTGAAAACCATCTTCAGTTAAGGAAAAAAAAAAAAAAAATATGTAAGCTGAACTCCTTGCAATGCACCCAGAAATAACACTGCAGAAGACAAGCAACTAAATAGAATAAAACACAGGACCAGAACAAACAAATTACGACTGTTAAAATACAGAGTAAATCAATTTAGGAATGAAATAAATAGTGATTATGAGAAAAATTCAGAACTGTTTAGGCATACACAAGAAAAATACTGCAGTTAATGGACTCCAAAAGATCTCCAAATCTTCTTCTTTCCAAATTATTTACATAGAATAGAACGGCATTTCTGTAGACCTTCATGTCTAAAGACTAAATTCTAGCTACAATCTAAATTATCTTGAATGTGTAATCCGAGCAACGTCAAAGATGTCTATCTGAATATTTTGTGACTTGCCCATTCAGAAATTAAAAATGCTTTGTGATGTTCATTTCTCCCCTTTAAGTATTTTACGCAATTAACTAATATCACCACATGGTCTCCAAAAGGAAAAGTTTGAAACTGTTTTTTATGAAATGTTAGACAATCTGCTAGGTCACAGCAGTATGGGCTGCCTTACTGTTGTCTGTTTCATCCCTTTGACCTTCCATCATATTAATGGCTAACTAAACATCTTATTTACAGATTTTATCCACAGGTTTCTAGTTTAGCACAGAAAGAACTGTCTAAATAAAAACATGACAGGCAATCAAAAAAATGCAGAAGGAGCATATCTAAAGGTATGTCACAACTTTACATTTCCAACAGTATAAATCTCCTGATAGGGGAAACAATTCTGTTTACTCTTTGGCAAGGTGCAGCAGGGCATTTAATTGCCACATTTTGAGATGTAACTTATGTTGCCTGAACTCAGAGAGAATGCAGATCTTGGCCTACAAATGACTGGCTTCAGGCACAATTCTTCATGGAAAGATCCCATAGCAAGGAAGCTCATTTGCCAATCCCTGCCTCCACCTCCAACCAGAAACAGCTTACACAGGAGGACAAGAGGACGCTAAATGTCTAGGTTCCTCTTGCAGAGGAAACTACGTAATAGTTAACAGCAGTTAAGATTTGGAGCAAGCTTCAGTGATGCCAGATGAGAGGTAGGGGCAGAGAAGGGGAAGACGATTCACAGCCCTGAACGATGCCCTGTAACAGTAAGAGAGGGAGGGAGGTGATCTACTTGCTGTCAGCACTGCTCTGTGGTTTTCTTCACCAGATTCAGAGTCTTCTGCACCCAAAAGAGGGGTTGCCCAGAAGACAGAGCACACACGTACTCAGCTAACAGATTCTCACTGCCCCTGACCCAGCAGATCATTTCTTGCACCTTATGCTATTTCAAAATCACCCTACCCACTTTGCTGTCCAGTGCTGTAACATGACTTACACCGATCCACGCTGACACTTACCAGTGTGCTTTCTGCTGTGCATCTGTAAATGGGACAATTTAAAGTATCGCTTGTTACAGCCAGGGTATGCACACATGAAGGGACGTTTTTCATTTGTCTCACTTGCTGATCGGACAATAGTTGGAGCTACTCCTGGCACCCGTCGGACATCCTGCAATGACAGAGACTTGCTAATGCAACATGTATGTTCTCAGACTTTTACTTAACATATTCAAACAGAGGCATTTCTCCATGACAAAGAGATACCTAAATATATTATACTGCAAACAGGCAATTTTATTTTATTCTACATTAAAGAAGTATAACCTTAATATACGTTAATCTGTTCTTTGCAAGAGTATTAAAATTATTTGAAGGTGAAATACAGTGAACTGTCCTTATTAAATTCTCTCACCAATATTTATATGCAAGATTAAATGGGTCACATTCTGACCTCATGTATAATCGCACAATCCTGGAAGAACACTCATTGGCATATGAAATAGTTTTAGGCTTATACTAGTGTAAGAGACAAGAGCATGAACCAGAGTAGCATTCTCCTTTTTACTTTAAATTTTAAAATTTTAAAACAAAACAAGAAAGACTGTCTAGGTGAAGCTGGTGAATAGGTCAGCCTTAACGCATTTTGGCCACTGTCACAATGTTCCATTAGAGATGATCTTCCCCTTCTGGGATAACTAACTTCCTTAAACAATGTCAACTGCTCACTTTTATTCACTCAACAAAAGCTGGCTCAGGAGCCTATTTCTGAGAGCTTGCCACTGAATAATGACTTGTTAAACTATACAGAAAAGGAAAAGGAGAAAAGATGCTATCTAAAAACACTGGTGTATGTTGACAACACAGAGCAACACAGAAGAGACAGATATCATGTAATGACTTTGTCATCAGTTTTAAGAAGGTCTGTCTTTTACAGTGGTATTTATTAATGACATGACTGCTTCAGAAAGGGAGGAAATTAACTCCCATGGATGGTAAGTTCCTTCCAAATATTCGGTAATTACTTAGTCATTAGGAAACAACCACTTACTATATTTTGTTTTAAGGAAATATGTTTGACTTCGTAAAGTTTCAGAAATCCGTAAAAACAAAATGTCATCTAACGCTTTCTTATTTATAGTTATCAGACATAGCCCACTGTAACCACAGAAGCTTCACACGACCAAAGTGACTGGAGCTAGAAGTCAGAAACTGGATCGTCTATTTTGGACCATCCTGAGAAGCTGGTAAGCAATATTGCCTCGCAGATGTACTTTAGAAGAAGAAATAAACAATTTTAAATGACTGTGTCAGAAAGAAATCTTACATTATACTTCAATAGCTTCAGTGAAGTCAGGACATTTATGTAACACATTTCTTGATAACACAGGGAAACCGCAAATCAAGGATGGACTTACAAACACCAAAGAAGTAGTAAATGAACATTGTAAACAGGCAGCAGTTTTACTTCCCTATGAAGAATGCCCTACTATACTCACTTGTATGCCTCTAAAAACTCCGTGGGTGTGTATTCTGTATTGGGCCCCACAGCTGTATAACATGGGAGCACTGTGGTTCTCATTTTCATATCCTGCTGTATGGCTGTAAATAAAGAGGGCAATAATAGAAAAATGAAATATTTTTCAGTACTCGGCTCCATGTGAGAGGTTTCATTTCTTAAGTTGGTGATAACATACGCAAGTTCGCTTTTATAGCCAGGATATCCAAGTTCAAATGAAATTCACCAAAGGAAGCCTGCTCTGCCTTTGTACGGATCTGCTCCCGCTGGCACAGTGCACTGACTCCACACATACATCGATTAGTATCCATTAAGACAGTCCAGTAAAAAAAAAAAATTGTCATGATTCAAACTCTAATGTATTTCCATGAAGATATTAGGTAAGAGCTAAAAATCCACATAGCAGCATAACTGTGTCATGTGCACATGTACACATTATTTATCAGTTAAATGTGGGGCTGGCTATTGCTAATATCTTTTGGAATGAGCAAAATGCCTCAAGTTTCACATTAAGTGCAGTGGATTTTTGTCAGCACCTCATGAGTCAGATATTACCAGATACTACCCAGAAAGTGATGACATTTATAAGAATAGCAGTCATGTACTCATAAACAGAGATTACAAATCAGTGTCCAAACTATTTATCCCACATATCAGCTTGCAGGATGCACTACAAATTAACCCTTTATAAAAATAAAATAAAAACCCAAAACCAGCCTATCCCTACTAGGTACAAATTTTCAAGATTCCTCATGCAGAACCATCACAATAATTTTAAAAATCTGTAACCTTTGTTGTGTTTTGGGGTGTCACAACCATATGTTTTATCTAATTATATTCTTCAAAATCATATGTTCTCCTGTCCAGAACGTTAGGAACATTGCTGTGTTTCCTGTTTGCAACCTTCTTAACGTCAAAATTATGTAAACAAATTTTAGTTTTTATTTTTAAATGAGTATGTTACATTAGTCTGTACATTGCCACATGTATTAATATACATTGGCAACGGTAAATGTTCGTGTTTTACACTGCACCAGAAATTAGAAAGCCCAGAAGAAAGCCCAAGGGCACACAGCTAGGGACAAAGATGGATACATAGGATGTTATCCCAGTCTTTGCCAAATGCTTGCAATAGTAATTTGAAGGGGTCCCTGAGGCCCAGACTCTCATTTCACTGGTCCTTCCTTTCTCTTCACTCAAAGTTTATGTGCAGAGTAGAATTACAAGGAAGTTTTAAACCTCTTAAGTGATTTGCAGAACAGCCAGTGGAAGTGGAATGCAGGAGATGTCTAAATGGTTTGCGAACCTCACTAAACAGGAGGGGAGCAGTATTTGTGAACAGCTCTCACCGTGGCGTGTGGGTTGCATTCCCCACTGTTCGTCCCCACAGTGGCTCGCAGGCTGCCAACCGGCAGATGTGTTCCTTTAGGTCAATTCCTTTCCTGCTTAAAATACTAGCTGCAAATCCTGGCTCCGTCTGGCTATTCAAATCAAAGGCAACACCTTTTAGGAAGGTACGCTCTGCTTATTTCAATTTTAAGTGGCAAACAGGTGATCATAATGAAATAAGTTATAGGGTGGCAGCAAGAAAGTATCTCTGATCTGTAGTAATAGCTGTAATAATAGATAAAGGAAGACACCATTATCTGATTTAAATGGATAAAACTCTTCTCTAGATATGTACCACGTCCAACCAAATAGGGTCTCCTCTCTGCTCAGGGCCCAGATGTGACCTTTTGTTCCCTAATACAAGTAACAAATTACCAATTGCTCAGTTCAGGTTCTCCACCAGCACTGAATTTTCCTTTCTGTTTAAAGGCAGCAAATCCATAGATGTTAAAAAAAAAATAAAATGCTGAAAAGCACCCAACCCATGGTGATACCCATGTTGATCACAAACTAAAAAGTGCATTTTAAAACAGAAATTAAATGAGAACTGCTATTTATTAGGAGGAAGTTCTGCAGTAGAAGCTATTGCTGATCTGTAACATAGCAGCAAATCAAGGGTAAGTATGAACTTCAGCATTAGTCACCCTGAGTAACCGTGTAACCTCTCATTCACGCCTGTACTAGCAACCTTACACATTACAATAAACAAGAGACACAAAGTTAGATAAGAAGTCATCCCAGGTCAGAAACTTTAGAAGGAGGAACAGGAATACCCAGTAAAAGCTTATACCATAAAACACAGCCCCACTTCGCCTCCAAATTCACGTGGTTTTTATCTTTCAGTGATAACCGGTTTTTTAAAGACCAGTTAGTTCCGAAATAATTCCTCCCAGGAATAAGCAGCAGAACAAAGTCCCTGTCTGTGCCCTAAGGAATGGCTCTATGAATGGGAGGTATTCTCCAGATGATCTCCACCTCGATTTTTATTGCACAGTCGGGAAGCCTTCCTCAACATTCAGCCTTTTTCATATTTCCTCCCATTATTTCTAGTTATACTTCACTAAAACTATACATACAGCTGCAAAACCTTGAAGATTAAAACTTGTTTTCTAAGTCTCTTGACCCAGAATATTCTGAGTACTTAACCAGCTCCCTAGGAGAGATGCTTTAATAATCAGGAACCCTAGTTCCCATTTTACATTGGGCACATTTCCATCAACATTGGCTGGTACTCAGCGTGGTCATACGGATGACGACAGCAAAATGGATCACGTGAGATTTCTTGGTTAAAACACTATTTATTCACTGTGAAGTGCTATGGAATAATCTGAGCTTCAGGGAGGCAGAAATTACCATGTGAATGTTCTCTCCAGCCAGTGGAGAAACTGGAACACTGAGGGACGAGTTTTCAGAAACTGCCCCTACACCGCTACTCCCTTGAACTTCACCCTTCACTCTGCATCGATAGTAACCTCATTGTGAAAGACTTTCTTTTTTCTTCCAGCCTCTTTACTCAATGTATCCATGATGTATGCCACAAAATGTATACCACAGTTTGCACAGTTGGCTTGTTTCGTATTGCTGCAGTTTATACACTAAAATAAAAGCACTGATAGAAGAACCGATATAAATCTCCTAAATACCTTACTGAAACTCAAGCACCTGCTTTACTGCATACAAGAGATAATGCTGAGATGCAATGCCACACGCATGAGCAATACCGGTAACTGATTAATTTATACCTGCAGTACCTTAACTAAATGGAAATCTTAAGAGCGTAGGAGATTCCTTAACTTCCATCTTTTCTAGTCAGGCACTCTATGCTTAACAAGGCAACGAGACAATGCCTTATACACTTAGGCCACCAAAGCTATAAGTATAATAAAGCCAAATTATCCCGATAGACCCTCAGGACTAGATCTCTACCAAAGCACTGCAATGTGTACATTGTACACCCCAGACCCACTAACAATACATGCATTATAAAATAAAAAGAAGATGCATTAGAGATTATACTGCGCTGTCCAGATGAACACTGATAATCCAGGGTAGGCAAACACGGATACTTCAGGAGAGACAGGCTTCTAGGACCAGGGCCCCCATGTTCTCTGCCAGCAGGATGGGCAGCTCAGGCAAGACCACAGCAGCCTGGAGAACTGCCAACGGAGCCGCTCGCTGCCCGGCCGCAAGCACACTCGGAGCATGGCTGAGAGCACAGCCAAAGCTCCTACGCTGTGTCCTTCCCTGCTCCAAGGGCTGAGCAGCCCCCCAGAGAAATTCAGCTAAAGCCAGGGGCATAACCAGGGGGCAAACAGTTGCATTAACCAAAGAATGAACAAAAAAAAAAAAAAAATCCCCAGTAAAGCCCGGAGTTATAGTTAGGAGAGACACTAGACCAATCCCTCCACAAGTCCTAAAAGGAGACTAAGCAAGGCCAGATGCAGCCAAACTGGCCTGCCAGGATCCAACAGAAATTTCTGTAGGAGTGAAGGATTTGGCCTCACAGTCTAGTTCTGCCTTTACTTGTAAATATACAACTCCCTTTAACTTCAATGGGAACTGCACAAAGGCAGAACTGGACTATAAATATTTAGAATTCGAGTTGGTTGGTGAAAAAAGGACTCAGTATATTTTGTTCTCCGGTTCTAAGCAGCCAGAAACAGACCTGGAAACGTAGCTATAAAATGTAACTCTAGATAACTGGGAAACAAAGACTGATACTTAGGCAACATAAAATGCTAAGCAAGCGCTATGTGTTGTAGAGCATTTAGAAGCACTTGCATTTACCATTAGGCCAGCAAATCCTTAACACTCTGAGAGTAGCTCTTTTAAAATGATTAATCTCAAAGTTCTACAGATTGTACAAAGATTAATAAAAATGAAGGTTTTACAGATGAGAATGTGTGATGAAAAACAGAGCAGCTTTAGAGAGTTGTATCAATCTAAGTGGTTATAAAAAAACTCATAAAAGATGACATTCTAATCTGAATATTTTAAAAAATAATCAAGCTGCAATTTCTCTCTCACACCATTTTTACTTTGTTAAACTTAAATTGTCTGTCTAAGGTATAAAGCAGTTACAACTTAATCTGAAGAGTTAAGCTTTTTATTATTATTTCATAAACCAAAAAAGGGAAGCTTCAGGGCACACCAAGGAGAGTCAGAAAATTTCAGATGAAACGTGAATACACATTGATTCATGAGATTCAGACTTGGAAGAATAAAAAAAGCCAGAAAGCAAGATTACATAAAACAGGCACCACATTAAGCCTCAATTTAATTGTGTTTCAATGCAGGAACAGGAATTTTAGGGTTTAGAAACAGAGCCAAAAATGAGGCAAAGTGAGGGTGTGGGCTAGTCCCGTTGATAACAGAACATAAAGGAAGAGAAGTAGAGTTAATTCCCTCTGCTAAAATATTTACCATCCTAGCACCCTGGGAAAAATATGTAAGGAGACAGCAAAAAGATTCTGATTAGTTATATGGAAGATCATGTTTCTGCCTGTTTTTTGTCTAATACTATTACGGAGGGTGGAGTATAAAGCTGCATTTTTATCTGCACTTTCCAAGGCAAAGGAATATTTAAAAATGTGATTTCACAGATTACAGCCCTTCTGCCTTCTTCACTGAGAAAATCAGCCAGTTGATGAAAGGAAGGCACTGGATTTTCAGGGGACCCTAGTCTCTCTCACTTCAATAGTCTTTGTTTGGTTTGGGGTTTTTTTACCATTCACCTGAGTAGAATCAGGATTTCACCCAACACTTCCCTTCAAAATTAGACCCTCAGCCATCAGTGGGAAAGGGGAAATTCTGTATTAGAGACAATAGATCATTGTCCATTTCCAGTTCATCTTGACTGCAGAACTGAACCCAAGTAGGAAGTTTTACGGCTCCAAATTTTACTAATAATACCACCAAAGCTAAAGAGAAAAACCTTTACAACTCACTTCTACACAAAGTAAGTTTTCACTACCTTGCTTCAGATGCAGTTTTATGTTCTACAGAGATCATACCTAAATTTCCTTCCAGTGAGCCTGAGAACAGAGCAAAATTTCTGTGGAACATGCTGACTATTTAACATCCAAGCAAAAGCAAAAGAGAAAACCAAACAAATTTTGTCTGGTTATATACTCGATTTAAGATGCCTGTTGAAAATACGGATTAAAACTTTTTACTCAAGCAGCTGAAGAGATAACTATGCAATATTTCTGTTAAGTCTTGCTGTTGGGTGTATGACTACACTTCTTGTCTACTGTGCCATATCATTTCCTGCTTGGTATAAGTTATCTCCATGTCACTGTTACACAGAACTCATCAAACCATCAAGGAGGGTTTTATAGTCAGGAGGTCGACCTCTACAACACCACCATGAAGGGAAGCAGTTTTTTCCGCATTGGACAAATAAGAAAGGAACACAAAAATATTAAGGACAGAAATTGAAGGGAAAGGTGTCCACGAATGTGGCACATCTGTTTTGAGATCCCTGAGACCTGAGTTCTCAGGGTAATAAGCAAAGGAGCCACGGACTTTCCTGCAACAGTATAAATCTGACCTCAGCTGCTCCAAACAAAATACCACAAAATGAGGAACAAACCATCAGCAAACAGTCCAAAGAGATAAAATCCAGTCCCACAATGATGTTCACTGCCTTAACCACGAAGCTTTCCTTTCAGATCCTTGAAGCTGCCAGTTTGTGTGACAGTTCTTGCAGACAACAAGCCAGCCCTCCCTCTTGTCTACCCAAAGTTCAGAAGGTGACAGAGAAGCCCCTGGACAAACAGGCAACACACAATCAACGCAGTAGCTCACAAGGCACTGTTCTTCCCTCACACACATTATAAGCACAGCTTGAGCTCAATCTTTGGCATTCAGAACCTAAGTGAAAATCTACAACACAGATTCAAGTCACTTGGACTATATGGCAGCAGTAGTGGGTTGTCTCTCTGCAAGGGACAACCTTGCAGAGAGAAGCTCAGCTGGGGCTATCAGATCTCCTTTTGGTTTGCCAGTAAGTAGAAACATCTAGAATTCATGGCTGCAGCCTTTTCTATCTGCTTCCCCATTTACACGCCCTCTCCCCTTCCCCTGCCAG